TGCTTGATCTCGGATTCAACGCTTGCATGCCCGAGACAGAAACCAGGGAAGAGGCGATAGATCCTTAGGGAGTAGAGTTTGGGGTTTAGACTTTAGGGCTCAGGGTCCATGGCTCCGGGAGTAGAGTTTGCGGCCTAGGGTTTGGGTTCCGTGGCCACATCATCATCACAAGACTAGATCATGGGTATACATTGTCAGCGTGGACAAGAAACACATTCCGACATCGTGCATCATAATGTCGGCTTAAGGGTCAACGGCTTTAGGGCCTAGCACGGAGTTGGATGGAGTATGCCCTAAGCCTGAAAGTGATGCACGCGTTCTCAGGGAACTCAGACAGATCAAGTCCTGAACCGCGAGTGAAAAACCCTGAAGCCCTATGTCCCAAAGCAGGGAAAGTGTAGGAGTCTAGTGTTGTAGGCTTTGGGGCGGGGAGATTTGGGGAGGCGTAGGGTTTGAGTTGGTGATTCATGGTTCAGGGAAGTACAGCTGAGGAGTGTTGGCAGTGTTGGTGCCTCCTGAGTCTCGCGAGAGTCTGGGCTTGGGACTTGGGCAATGACTTGCATAATTACCCTTTGCTGGTGTTGAGCGCGTTGCGTGCACCACGAACCAGAACCCAAAAGGCTAGGGGTAAAGGATCTAGGGCTGCTTGGTTTTGGGGCTTCGGGTCAAAATCTGAAAGGTCACCGCCAACTTGGAACTGAGAGGCCACATCAGGGACTCGTTGACATCCTTTCGGCAACATAACGACTGGCTCTTTTGGTTTAAGGTGTAGTTTGGGTTTAGGGTCTAAGGACTCTTCAGGGGGTTTAGCATTAGGGCCTGCTTGAGGAGTTGATTGGCTGGGTTGGGGCTTCCTCGTCTACGATGCTCCTGAGCTTTCCCCAGCGTAGCAATCCGTTTGGAACACAGTTAAACCCCTCTTTGGGTGTATCTAGGTTAAAAAAAACTCCCCGAATAGTGATGCAGAAGTGCACTGAAGCTGTGGGCTTCCTGCTTCTTCTGTGGACTGGAGGGTGTGCCTCCCGGCCTTGAAGATAACAAAGAGTTCGTCCAAGGGGTGGCCAGGGTTTGAAGGGTTCAGGGGGCCGTACTAACTAGAACAGGGCCTTGGGGTATATCATATCCCTCATGATAAGTACAAAGGGCTTGCCAGGAATAATGTAGCTTCTGATGACCGATGGATACCACAAACAACAACACCTTCAGATGGGCGACGCGCCACAACCGCCTGCAACAATGAACACCGCAACCCTACAGAAGAAAGCTCAAACCCCACAACCGCCAACCTAGACCCTACGCCCTTTTCGTCCCAAGCACCTTCGTGGACTCGATCCTGGGAAGCTCGCGACTCTGTGGGAGGCTTTGGTGCACCGAGGGACGTTGGGTTTGGGTCGGCTTGGGCAGTCGGGCTCCAGTCACTTGGGCTAGGCTGCTTTTTGAGGGTTTACCGAGAGCGGCGAACACGATGGCATCTCAAATGCTAGCGCAGCCAGACTGAGAGCATCTAGCTCGTCCTGGAAACTACACGCCGCAGCAGAATGCTACAACAGTAACAGCAACACGACAGCAACGCAACAACCGCACCTCATAGAACCTCTAATACAACGAGTGGTGGCCGCCATCCTCTTCTCCATCACCATCTTCACGAATCTGAAGACCAGCCGCAGCAGCAGCAGTAGCAGCAGCAGCAGCAGCAGCGCCGACACTTTCGTCAGAATCAGCATCAGAAGTAACAGCGCCATCGCCATCGTCACCAACCCATCAACGAGCACAACCATCAAAATCATGAACAATCAGCGCACCGACAGCAAGTTCATCACCAACATCTCACCACACTCAGAGAATCAGTACCATGGTCACTATCATTGGCACCACCATCATCAGTAGCACCCCCGAACCATCATCACCATCATCATCACCACCACCACCATCATCATCATCATCATCCTCGTCGGCGTAGTCGCCATCGTCGCCATTACAACCATGACCAACTTCGCAAAAGCCAGGAAGCGGTCTCTCCGCTACGCCCAAAACTGAACAACAACAGACCCCCCACCTGAAAATCCTAAACACAAAGCCTCACTATTCGGAAGTCCACATTCGAAACCACGTCTGCAAAAGCCGAGGAACAGATTCAAGATGTAGCTCGTGAGCATCAGAAGGAGCCCTGTCAGGAAGTTCACCACCTCGGCGGATCCCTTCTCATGCTCCAGGAAAGGCTTCGGGCTAGTTTTTGAAGCTTCGGGGCTCGCGGGGCAAAGGCGCTTCAATAGTTGTTGCATGGTTTTGGTCTTTGTGGATTCGGCGGCCTTGATGCTAACCTCTTCAGCGCCCGTTTGCAGGAAGCAGGGGTTTTGCGAACACCGAGAGTCAAGGACCGAGGCGGCATAGCGCCGCCACGAAGACTTGAGTGGACATCAGCGGGTGACAAAACGCTGTCAGGCAAAAGCTCACCGATGATGTCATCGCGGCAATATGGGGCTTCAAAGGAGAAGTTGAACGTTTGCTATGGGGACACTTGTGCGGTCAGCACCGCCAAGAAGAGGATATCTGCGAGCCGGTTTGGTACAACTGTACAAAAAAATCCTGCCATGGAAGAACTGACCTGCACCTCTGATGACACCATCGCAGTGACCAAGCACTGCTACGGGAATGCACACAGGGACATGTCACCCCAGGGCCAGCGCGGCCTAAGCTCACCGCGGCTGAAATGCACTGAAACCACCGAAGGACGTTTACAGACTGACTGATACGTAAGCTGAATTTCAGCTGAGAGGGGTTTGCACCATTCAGGATCGGTCCGAAAAGCCTGAATCCAGAATCCTAAACCGAACTGGTCACCCTATAGAACTTGTTCTGAGCTCTCACACCAGGGACAGGATCTGGGCAGATGTGTGCTTGGCAAAGAGGAACGACAACCTTCAGCGCTCGACTGGATCGCGTCTTGGAGGGTTTGTCAGCGGGGGGTCTGCCGGCCTTGATGAATTGAGGCTTTGTGGATGCTTCGGGCCTCAAGAATCGATGGAGCCGATAATGACCCGAGGAAAGCTTTCAAAGGAAAGGGCCTTACCACGGACCCCAAAGTAAGCTGGCCCCTTTGCCTCGACCCGAAAACCGAACCAGACCTCCACCCACAAAAAGATGCTAATTACATTCTGCCGAACTGGGCCCCTCGCATCCGAAACCCACAAATCCTAAAACTCCCAAAATCCGAAATGTCTGGCCGCTTCGACAAAATAACACAGGTCCCCTTGCGGCCGAGAAGCAGGTACGAGAAGGGTGCGATGGCGAATCCGTAGCCTGGCAGGCTGCGATTCGGGCCCTGAAGGGTTCAGGGATTAGTTTGCCGGTCTAGGGCTCTATGGTGGGGGGAGGGGAACGCAAAGCGGATAATCACAAGCTAGGGTTTGGGGTCTGGGATTTTGCGGCTCTGCTTTCGTGTCTGCAGGTTTGGCTCTAACTCAGCTTTGCCCGGTCTGGATTCGCACGTATATTAGCGTCCTGAGGACCCCAGCGCTCGAGTTCTAAACTCTTCAACCCGTCCTCCAAGAAGCTATGTGCACTAATCTTCGACTAGCTTGACCGTTACCTCCACAATCACAGTCCACAGTCCCCAATCTACATCCGACATTCCAATACCGGGCGAGGGCGACGCTGAACAAGATCACGATGAGGATGAGGATGAGGGTGATGACTACGATGCTGATGATTATGGTGACGATGGTGATGATGATGGCGCTGATCATGAGGCGGCTGCTGATGCTGCGGCTGATGATGACGTTGCTGCTGCTGATGATGATGATGATGCTGAGGAGGATGATGCTGGTCATGAGGCTGCTGCTGATGCTGCTGCTGCTGATGATGATGATGCTGATGATGATGATGATGATGATGATGTTGCTGATGGTGGTGATGATGACGGTGACGACGACGATGATGACGATGCTGCAGAAGATGAAGATGATGGTGACCATTGTCGTAATGGTGATGATGATGGCGATGATGATGATGATGATGATGATGATGATGATGATGCTGATGATTATGTTGCCGATGTTAATGGTGTTGATGATGATGATTATAGTAAAATGGCAGTGACGATGATGATGATGGTGATGATGGTGATGATGATGATGGTGATGATGACGGTGACGACGACGACGACGATGCGAAGAATAAGAAGAATACGATGGTGGTGATGATGATGATGGCGGCGTCGGCGGAGTGGTTGATGGGGATGGTGCTGCTGCTGATGCCGGCGGTCATGGTGGCGACAACAACGAGGCTTGCTGATGCTGGCGTTGAGGATGCACAGCTAGGCACTAGCATCCGGAATTCGCAGCATCCGCGGAACAACAGAAAGTACCCGCACCTGCAAAGACGACGAAGCTGGCCCAGAATGCACCTCGGATTGGGCTGATCTACGCTTTAGGGAAACTTCTGAGAGAGATGGAGGGATCTGAAAGAACAATTCCGGAAGGTTCCTATATTATACGACTTTGGCAGTGGGGGGTTCGGCGACCCGTTTATTCGAGAAGCTGAAGGATCAACCTCGGTCCACTAGAAGCTCGCAACCCGTGGTTGAAGCAGCAGGAAGGCACCCAGCCCAGAGAAGGACCGGCGGAAAAACAACATTAAGAGACTGCGGCAGAAGGAAGTAGAGGTACGATGCAACTACAAACGTCACTGCGGTGAGACGGCTGCTTGACGGACCCTAACCTGGCTGGTCTCTGGAGCCCATGACGGGGAAGGTCTTCTGTCGATATTACGAGCCATGACTTGAGCTTCTCCAAAAGAAAAAGCCCCGCTACCCACAGAATACAATAGCAATAGCATGCGCAGGCGTAGCCTTGAAGCCTTTAAACCCTAAACCCCACGCCCTAAACCACCGAACCCCAAACCTCTGGCCGCAATGCAAGAGAGGCGCCGTTCTCCACAAAGGCGTCGATGCCTCAGCTCTAGTGACTAGTGGCAGGTTGGTATCGCAAGATCGACTAGAACCGCTGGAACCACGAAATCATGATAACACTACGAAAACCAACTGAAGAGGAACAACCGTAATCATCGTGATAGCAAGGTACTGGTAATGGGAAAAGAGAAGCAATAGCCTCCGTTGTTTAACCCCCTTCTGCCTAGTAACCTACCAGGAGTCCATGGCAAAATTAATCCCACTACTCAGTGCTTCTTTCTGAACTTTGCAGCCCCTGGAGGCATTCGTTCCTGCAGTTGCTGCAGCTTGCAGTCCTGCAATCTCTGCAGTCTTGCGCTTTCCAGGCTGCAGTGCCCTGGCAGAACCACGTCCCTATGGCACTTGCAGCCTGCAGCTCCCGGGCAGTAGGTGCAGTCTTATGTTCCTAAGGCCCCTGCTGGCAGCATTTCCTGCAGTAGTGCACACTCGCTCTTCCTGCCGTAGGGTGCTGTGGAAAACCTTACAAATGTGAGCAGGCCAAGTAATTAGTTGTAGGAAATGAAAATGTACTTTTTGGCTAGGCTTCAATTATGTTTGGTAGTAGGCCATCATGACAAGTGTTACTTATATCAGCATGACCTGTTCCTCAGATGTCTTGGCCGCGCATAGCTTGCGCATCCGAAGGCGAAGCCTCACTGAATTCCTCAAACACCCCTGTCCAGTTCTTAGTCCGGACATAGGGGTTCATAGAGTTATATATATATATATGTAGATGCAGTTATATATATATATATATA